TTAAGTCATTAGGTTTGGCTCGTAGCCCTGGCTGACTTCGGACGCCGCCTGCGCATCCGCTTGCGGCCGCGACTGGGAAAAATCCTCACCGGCCCATTCAGAAGGCCTGCCCATGAGAGCTCACGGGCAAAGGGACAAGAGACACATTTAGGGAAGCAAAGCGAGCAACCAGAGTGAACCGACAGATCTCTGGGAGCAAGGGGGTGGCCTTGGAAGGCCTCTTCGGGCCGCCCCTGGGGGCCGCGTGGGGGCGAGTGGAAAAGAAGGGGGAGGAGCAGGAAGAGGACGAGGACGAGGAGGAATAGGAGGACGAGGGCGTTGATGAGGACGAGGAAGACGAGGACTAGGCTGCTGCTGCTGCTGGTGCTCTCTGGGAAGTCGGGGGCCCCCTTGGAACCCTCTTCGTAACCCTGGGAGGTATCTTGGGATCATCTTGGAGGCCATCGATTACAGGATGGGGGGGTCCCCAACTCAGCTCACCCTTCAAGAGCCGGCAGCCCACTTCTTTGGGCTCTCGTGGGGCGTTCTTGGAGCGGGTTTAAAGCCGTTTGGAGCATCTTGGAAGCCAGCTTGAGCCACCTTGGGTTATCTGAACCATCTTGGAGGTGATCTTGGGTTTTCTGAGGCCGCTCGGGGGCCTCTTGGGGGCCTCTCGGGTGCCTCTTGGGATTTTCTTGGGACCCTTTTGGAGTAGGCCCCCCCTTCGTGGGCCACGATCCTCGTGAGGGGTGTCAATACTTGGCTCTCCCACGGGCCGAAAAAGGGTCCCCAGACCACCCGCGACCCCCCCCCCCAGGGGAGGGGGGAGGGGGAGGGGTCAAGACTCCCTCCCCGCCCGCATGCCGTCTCGCTCACTCCTACCCACCCCCCCAACACATACCGAGCACCCGAGTCTGGCCCGAGCCTCAGCATATTCAACAGTCGTCTTTGGATGGGCAGCTACTGGGGGCCAATCCGCCGATGCCGCCGCCGCCTCCGCCGCCGCCGCCGCCGCAGCCGCCGCTGCCCGCCGCCGCCGCCGCGCCGCCGCCGCCGCCCCCGCTGCCAAATCGCCGCTGCCGCCGCAGCCGCTGCCGCCACTGCCACCGCCGCCGGCCGCCGCAGCCGCCGCCGCCGCCGCCGCCGCCGCCGCCGCCCCCGCCGCCGCCGCCGCCGCCGCCGCAACCGCCGCGGCCGCCACCACCGCCGCAGCCGCCGCAGCCGGCTCCATGAGTACTCTGTTTTGTTTTTTGACAGGATTGGTGGGGGGAGGCCGCATCGGGTTGGCGGCGCATGCTCCGAATTTGGAAGCAGAGTGTGTTTTGTATGGTTTTTTACAAAGGATGGTGGGGGGTGCCCTCATGCTTCTTGGTTGGGATCAGTCGCCTGGGGGAGGGGGTGTTTATTAATAGGGAAAATGACAAACCCCTCCCTGAAGGGGAAGAGGGTTTTTGGAAGGAAAGAAGCAATCCCGTTAGACCACCTACGCCCAGAGGGCTGGTGGGATTGAGAAAACTGGCCGCTGCTATGTTTGACACGTCGCCCGGATCTGACCGCTGCCAGGGGTCCTGGTAATGTTGATGATGCAGATGATGCTGATGCTAATGATGGTGGTGATGGTGGTGATGATTATGATGATGATGAGAATGATGATGCTGATGATGATGCTGTTGATGATGATGCTGATGATTATGAATATGATGATGATGATGATGCTGATGCTGATGATGAGAAGGAAGAGGAGGAAGAGGAGGATGACGAGGAGGATGAAGAGGGGGGTGAGGGTGAGGATGCGGATGATGATGATTATGCTGATGATGTTGATGATGATGGTGATGATGATGATGAAGATGATGATGATGATGATGATGATGTTGATGTTGATGCTGATGATGATGATGATGGTGGTGGTGGCGGTGGAGGTGATTATTCTGATGATGGTGATCATGATGCTGACGCTGATCATGAGAGTAATGATGATCATGCTTGTGATCATGCTGATGCTGATGATGATGCTGCTGGTGGTGATGCTGGTGGTGGTGATGAGTATAATGATGATGACGGTGCTGATGCTGATGCTGATGATGATGTTGACGATGATAATGACGATGATACTGATGCTGATGCTGCTGATGATGATAATGCCCATGCTGCTGATGATGATGACGATGCTGCTGCTGCTGTCAATGATGATGATGATGATGCTGATGATGATAATGCTGCTGATGTTGCTGATGATGACGATGATGATGCTGATGATGATGATGCTGCTGATGATGATGATGATGATGATGATGTTGCTGATGATGATGCTGGTTGATGTGATGACGATGATGATGGTGGTGGTGGTGATGCTGATGATGCTGATGATGATGGTGATGGTGATGATAATGCTGATGAGAATGATGATGCTGATGATGGTGATGTTGATGATGATGATGATGCTGATGCTGATGATTATGGTAAGGAGGAGGAGGAATAGGAGGAGGATGAGGATGAAGATGGGGATGAGGATGCGGATGCTGATGATTATGCTGATGATGTTGATTATGATGATGTTGATAATGATGATGCTGATGCTGACGCTAATGATGACGATCATGATGATGGTGGTGGTGCTGATTCTGATGATGGTGATGATGATGCTGACGCTGATGATGATACGGATGATGATGCGAATGATGATGCTGATGCTGATGGTGGTGATGATTATGACGATGATGATGACAATGATGATGATGATGATGATGATGCTGATGATGATGATGCTGATGATGATGATGGTATTGCTGATGTTGATGCTGATGGTGATGCTGATGATGCTGACAGTGACGATGATACTGATGATGCTGCTGCTGCTGATGATGATGCCGATGCCGATGCCGATGCTGATGCTGATGATGATGACGATGCTGCTGCTGGTGATGCTGATGATGACAATGATGATGATTATGATGACGATAATGATGATGATGCTGATGATTGTGATGCTGATGTTGTTGCTAATGCTGGTTGATGTGATGATGGTGATGATGATGATGATTGTGGTAGTGGTGGTGGTGATGCTTGTGATGATGATGCTGATGCTGATTATGATGATGTTGATGATAAGGATGGGTGATGATGATGATGTTGATGTTTATGATGATGATGTTGATGGTGGTGGTGATGCTGCTGATGATGATGATGATTGTGGTGATGATGATGATGATGATGATGATGATGATGCTGATGCTGATGCTGATGCTGATGCTGATGCTGATGCTGATGCTGGTGCTGGTGATGATGCTGGTGATGATGCTGATGATGATGATGATGATGATGATGATGATGATGATGATGATGATGATGATGCTGCTACTGCTGCTGCTGCTGCTGGGGAGGAGGAGGAGGAGGAGGAGGAGGAGGAGGAGGAGGAGGAGGAGGGAGGAGAAGGGAAGAGGAGGAGGGAGGAGGAGGAGGAGGAGGAGAAGGAGATAGGAGGAGGAGGAGGACCAGGAGAACCAGGAGGAGGAGCAGGAGGACGAGGAGGAGGAGGTGGAGGAGGAGGTGGAGGAGAGGAGGATGAGGGAGGAGGTGGAGGAGGAGGAGGAGGATTGGGAGTGGGAGTGGGAGTGCTGGGTCGGGAGCGGCAGAACTGCCGATGGGCGCAGCGAAGACGAAGCATGCGCCGCGCTGACACAGCACTGCCACCTTCACTCGGCGAAGACGAAGCGTGCACTGCGCTGACATAGCACTGCCACGTTCACTCACACACTGCCCGGCGCCTCGGCGAGGTCGGCAGTGCGAGGAGTCGCCGCATCGCGCGGGCCCACAAATAGAGCGAGTGACAAAGTCTGCGCCGCGTCGCGGCGGGAGCGCCTCTCTCAAGCGAGGCCTGCGCAGGGCCCGGGCGAGAGCGAAAGTTTCGCCCGCTCGCGCGTCGACGAAGCTGCGGGCGAAAAGATGTGCGCCGCGCCCGAGGGGAGTTCAAAATTCTCTAGGAGTGCGCGCCGCGCCAGGGCGAGAGCGATATTTCGGCTTGTCGCGCGGGATGTGCATGCACCCCCCGTCCCGCTCCCGCCTCTGGAATATGGGGCGAGCACTTGTCCGCACTGGGATGAAAAACAGTACTCATGTGCGCTTTGACCTGCAGGATGGGACACCGAGGATCCGGATGCTGTTGGTCAGATCGGTGGCAGAGTGCGAGTATGCATGACCCTTTTTTCCGGGTCCACGCCCCCCCCCTCCCAGATGGGATAGGTCTCAGGGTCCTTCGCCCCTCCCCCTGATGGAATGGGGGGGGGCGGGACGACGACGACGACGACCACCACCACCACCACCGCCACCACCACCACCACCACCACCACGACGACGACGACGACGACGACGACACCGTCCGCTCCTCCTCCTCCTCCTCCTCATTTCCTCCTCCTCCTCCTCTTTTGGAGGTCCCGACCACCACCACCACCACCCACCACCCCACCTCAGGGGGTGCGGAGGGCCGGTCCCCGAACCCACCACCGCACGCCTTCAGGGACAGGGGAAGGCCCCACCACACCACGCCCACAGGGGAGGGGGGGGGGCCTCGCGCGGGGGGGGTGGGGGGGGGCGATGGCATCAGCATGAGGAGGGGGGCGGGCGGGCCAGACCCTGGGCCATACACCCATGAGGAAAATTATAAGCCGGCCTTTGCATAATCCACCCAGCCATTGGCGCTTCCGCTTCGCTCCATCCCTGGCCTCCTTCGTTGGCTCCGCCCCCGCCCCCATGATTTTCCTCCCCCGTCGTCCCCTCCCCCCTCCTACTCCCTCTTCGTCCTCCCATTTCGTCCTCTTTCCCTCCTCCCTCCTCTTACTATTGCTCGTCTTGTCCTTGCTCATGTGTTTTTTGTTGACCGTGTTGCTTAGCATTCCTATCATAGGCACCATCGCTGTTATCGCTAGGCGTATTCTCACTACTTCTGGCATGCCTCCTTGTCCTCGTCCGTCTCCTCTCTCATCGCCCGCCCGCTGCCGCCAGCGCCCGTGACGGCCCGCCAGGAAGTCAGTTCGGAGTACCTCCGACTGGGGGACCGGTACGGGTGCAAGCAGGTGGTCGAGGAGGTTCCGGAAGAGCAGGAGGGGTCGCCTGCGCGCCGTGCTACAGGTTTCAGCTGCGGTTCGCCCTGAGCCTCCGCGACCGTAGCACGCTGTCCCATCGGCGCAGAGATGGTGATGCCATGGTCATGCTCATGTGGGTTCACCTGCGACGGTTTTCTGGCGCCTGGGCGCAATTTACAGACAGGTGGACAAGTCGTACCCCATCGGGGCAGGGGAGGGTAGAAGGAGGGAAGGGCGGGAATGAGGGACGGAGGGAGAGAGGAAGCAAAGAGAGAGGGGGGGAGAGCAGGACAGGACCGGCGCTGGTGTCGGGCAGGGAGCGTCCAATGGAAGGGAACGGCGGGAGCGCCAGAATTCGGTGACTGGTGTTATATGGACGTGTGGTTTCCTTGGGGCGGAAGGCTCGGATTTTCGGTTCGTGTTCCCTCTCTTGGGCCCCTTTTGAGGCCGCCTTGGGGCCCTCCTGGGCTGCTTTGGCGCCTCTTGGGCCGTCTTGGTGCGCTATTAGGCCGCCTTGGGGCCCTCTTGGAGGTATCTTGGGGTGGTCTTGGGGGCCTCTTTATCCGCTTGGGAGCATCGGAAAACAGAACGGCGAGTACGCCAACATTCTTCAACAATCTAAGGAGAATCAATGATTTCTGCCTCTTGGGCCCTCTTGGGAGGCCTCTTGGAGGCTTCTTGGGGCGTCTTGGAGGCTTCTTGGGCCACTTTGAGGCCATCTATGGCGCCTTGGAACGATCTTTCGGCGTCTCGGAGCCCTGTTGAACCGTCTTGAGGGCCTGGTGGTGCCCTCTTAGCCCGTCTTGGGGCCCTGGCACCGAAGAAGTCATGCGAGAAGATGGGAACCCCAGGAGGCACGCGGAAAGCCCAAGAGCGTTTGGCAATTTGAGCTCCGAGCCCCTGAAAGACTTCTCAGGAGTGAGTATTGAGGCTTCGAGGATGAGGGAAAGGACCTGAGGGCACGCCCACTCCGTGCCCAGAGGCACGGTGGCGGATCTGTATATCGATGTATACACATCTATATTTATACATACACATATAGATGTATATCGATAAAATGATGTAGCTATGCGTCGGCCTATATAATGTATGTACGCACATGTTTGTTCACATTGTTGTAAATGTGAGTACATAACCACATGTGTACGCTACATACATACAAATTCATATACCTATATGTATACTCCTATCCATATATCTATATACGGAAAGCGAACAATCGATATACATGTGGGCGCATGTATCGCTATTCGCACATGTTTGTATAGTTATGTATATGTACACATAAACCTAGATTTATGTATTCATATTTACATGTCCAATAATATATGAAATATACATATTTACGCACATGCCATATACAAATTCACCTTTGCTTATCTAGTATATATACATCGGCGTTCCGAAAGTTTATTCCGATTTGAGAGGCACGGTGCCGCGCGAATGCAGCGCAAACGCTATGCTGGAAGGGCGCGGCAATCCATGCCCCCTGGACAGGCGAGAGCAGCCGCGCCCCCGTGCGAACCCCGATCCCGCGTGGGGCGCGTTCCCGTGGACAATGGCTCACCCGGGAAACCGTTTCTTGTGCAGGAAGTCTTGAACGGTCTGCCCATTGGCGGCTCTTTCGGACGAGGCCCAGAACCACCGAGAAACCGTTTGTGATAGGATGTTCTGGGCGGTTTGCCCATGTTCGGCTTCTTCGGAGTGGGCCCGAAGACCTCGATAACGATGTGTGCTGCAAGGAGTCCTAGGCGGTTTGCACATTTTCGGGTCGTTCGAACTGGACCCGAATTTTGTTTTGGCACAAGTCCTATGGGATTTGGCCACTTTCAGGTCGGCCCACAAACTTTTCGGGTCGTCGTATGACCGAACCCGAAAGCTTTTTTCGAGGAGGTCCGATGTTTGCTCATATTCGGGTCCGTACACCGCTTGAGATTCAAAAATTATAAATTGGGAAAGGGAACCCGATCCCGCGACCCCGGGCGGGGGTTAGGGGTTAGGGTCTGCCCTTGCATTGTACTGGGCCCTTCCGGCCAAACGGGCTGCTGGGCTGCGCATCGGCGCGCCGATTTTGCCCTCGCGACATCGCCCCCGTCCGCCCTCGGGCCCCGCGAGTCTTATCCTGCGCGCGCCACCCCAGATGGCCGCGGCGAGCACGGTGGCGAAATGTGGGAAACTTTCGGATCGGCGCGGTATGTGTACCGATGTATAGAGCTACAGCTTCATATACATATACATATACATATACCTAAACACATATGTATATACAAACGTGCATTTACACAGACATGTAGACAGTTATCTCTTTCTGCAAGTATATAAACAAAATTATATGTATACATGTATATATGCTTATATTCACATAAGACTTGCAGTGGCGCTTCGCGCCATACACCTGGGACCTTGGGGCTTTGCATCTGTTGGTCGTGTGCGCCATCCCTAGTGGCCTTGGAAAGTTGGACCCTTCCTTGCGGTGGTTTTCGGAAATCTTCGACAGTTCGGGAGGTCCCTGGCCCTTCCCGGGCCCCCCGGGGGCTCCCGAAAAGGCGCCAGGTGAAGGGCGAAGGATAGGAGTGAGGGAATCTCGGGGAGCGAGGAAAAGGAAACGGACATCGGGGAGCAGGAGTGGTGGAGCGGCAGAACCAGGAGGAGAACGAGGAGGAGGAGCATGAGGAGGGAAAGAGATGCCGCCGTCGGGGGGGGGTCATGTGCACGTACAAGCTCGCAGAAATGACTGGAAGTGAATGGCGACAAAAGGGCTTCATAGGCCCGCACATTGTCTGGCTCGTGGCTCAGGTGCCTCAGTGCGCAATGCGAAGGAATGGCAAACCATGCGAATCAATGCCAAGCATTCCGACGCAATGTCAAGCAATGCCGCACAGCACAAAGCAATACCAAACCGAGGATGTTATGTTGCAGCGGGTCGCAGACGGGCACGCGAACATAAGTAATTATTGTGGAATGCGACACATCCCGGGTTCGCAACAAATTTCCGGTAAATGCGGTTGCGAACCCAGGATTCGGGCCAGTTTGATGGAACATGCCGGGTGGGCCTTGTTGGAGCCTTGGCGGGCCAGCTCGGGGCCCTCTCGAGCCGTCCTGGGGCCATCCTTGGCCGTGTTGGGGAGCTTGGGCCCTCGAGGGACCTTAAGGGGGGTTACGTGGGCCCCCCCTCTGACCTCCCATGGCCTTTTCGGGGGTCTCCCTTGGCCTTCTTGGGCTTATTTTGAGGTCCTGTTGGTTTTTTTTTTGTTTTGCCTATTTGGGGCTTCTCTTGGCAGTCTGAAGGGCCATTCAGGCCGTCTAGAGGCTGTTTCGGGTGTCTTTGGGCCGTCCTGGGGCGATACAGGAAGCCTTTTTGGTTGTTCTGGACGTTGCTAGTACCCGAACAGCGAATCTGCTAAAAACGCACGTTTCGCCAAGTGAATGAAACGGTTTTTGCGTTCTGGGAGTGTTGCCCTCCAGGGCCGTTTTGGGAGCCTCCAGAGGCCATCTGGGTCCTTCTTGGAGCGCTTTTGTGTTGTTTTGGGTTTACATTCGGCCTTTCTGATCACCGCTATGATCGCTCGGGGTCTGCTGGCAAGACCCGGCCAAGCGCCCTTGGAGGTCCGAGACGAGCCGGGGGACCTTCGGCAACGGTGTCCGGGAGGCCCAGAAACCCTGGATCGCGGGGGTCCAGTTTCGGACGCGGGGGTCCCACCCCCCCGGTTCGTAAACATTTTGGAAGCGGAATACACACATATTCTTTATACATATATATATATAGATATGTATATAAATGTTTATATGTATATATGTATATGTATATGCATATGTATATGTATACGTATACGTATATGTGTATGTATATGTGTATGTATATGTGTATGTATATGTGTATGTGTATGTGTATGTGTATGTGTATGTGTATGTGTATGTATGTATGCATGTATGTATGTAGGTAGGTAGGTAGGCAGGTAGGTTGGTAGGTACGCATGTATCTGTGTATGTATGTGTGCATGCATGCATGTATAAATGTATGTAAGTAAGTCAGTAAGTAATTAAGTAAGTAATTAAGTAAGTATGTGTGTATGTATGTATGTATGTATGTATGTATGCATGCATGCATGTATGTATGTATGTATGTATGTATGTATGTATGTATGTATGTATGTATGTATGTATGTGTGTATGTGTGTATGTGTGTATGTGTGTATGTGTGTATGTGTGTGCTTTTCTTTGTGCTTAGACATGCATACATACATATGTCTTCCAGCTGCCTGCGGCAAGTTCCGCCACCGTGCCTGGGTTGCGGATTCAAGCCTAGTGGATGTTTGTTGGGATCTCGTGGGGGGCCTTTCGAGGGCCTCCTGGAGGCAGTTTTGCAGTCTCTTGCAGGCCGTTGCGGGGCCTCTTGGAGCCTCTTGGGCGCCTCTTGGGGCCTCCTGGGGGCCCGTGGGACGGAAGACTGCCTCTGACGGGGGCGCCCAGGACCCCAGATCCCAGGGATCCCGTTTCGGGGGGGGAGGGGGCAAGGTTTCCACAGGGTCCCCAAAAAGCTTCTTGGGGTAAATCTTCCAAATCCTTGGTTGGGTTGTTGAAGGGCTTCGACGGTTTTCGATTCTCGGCCAGCCGACGCGCCTCGACGGCCAGAGCGCTCTCCCAAGCCCGCCCTAGGGAGGCACGGGAAGCCCCCGGGGACGGCCCCAGGACGGCCCACGATGGGTGCAAGACGGCCTAAGAGGCGTCCGAGACAACCGATGAGAGCCCAATGATGGCCTCAAACGGCCCCTTTTGCCCGAGCTGGTTCTGCGCGCCCCCGCGCGAATCTTCGCCCCCGCGCCAGGGCCACCTAACGAACCAAGGGTTCGACGGCGCAGCGTGGCAGGTCGTAGAAAACTGCTGTGCGTATGAAAGTGTATGCATATATCTGCATGTACGAGTGCGTGTGTATGTATATA